ATTATATCAAGACAATGAGAAGTTGGCGTTTGCTCAAAATCAAAAAAAATCAACATGCAAATATATATATATATATATATATATATGCAAATAGTATATATATAAATATATTCACTAGAGCCTTGATGATGAAATGATAGACATGCAAGATTCAAATTTTTGTGGTTTTTTATGTGATATTTCATGTTTGATAATCTATGATAAATTTGTTCATTCTAAAAACGTCAAAATTTAAATCTAGATTCATTGATCATTTTCTGATATTGGAAAATGTTAATGAAAATAATGTCATGTATTTCATTTGCAAAAACATGTATTATGATCAAAACAATATATCAATCAACCAACATCAATAGCTACTCATGATTTATTTGAGTTAAAGAAGATATTGAGATATGGATTTTAGGAAATTAATATTCTAGACTTCTCGGACACAAGAAAAAGCGTTGATTGGCCTGAGCAATAAAACATAGATGTATTAAGAAGAGTGCGCGAAAATATAATAATTGATTCAATAGATTGAGTATTCATCATATAAATCAGCTTGTAAACCAATTGAATTCTAACTAATGCACATTTGATAGTTCAAAAATTTGAATGTATATGCAACGAGAGCATTGTTTCTTAATAGGAGTGAGGTTTGTAATCATATTTAATTTGTTAAAATTGAAATATAAACAGTTCAAGATGAAATAAAATTACATTATAATGGATAATGTACACGTAATGATTTGATGTGTTAGTTAATGTATTAGTTGACAACAACATCCATATATTTGTTAGGTATATCTATCATATCATTAATATACTAGCAGAAAAATTTGTGATGAAAATAATATTTTATCTCTTTGTACTTGTTATAGATATCTATATAAGGAAGAGTAAAACTATTCTAGGTTTATTTCATTTTCAAAGATGTGTTTCATATTTAGTGAATTCATCTAGTTTTTATACAATCTCTCACAACATCTCTAGGATGAGAAAAAATGATAGAAGTTAATTTAAGCTTTTAAATTTAGTTAGATTTACTTTAATTTAACTTTTATTAAGATGTCATTTTAAAAGAATGCTAGCAAATAGTCTCTTGAATCCTTTTAGATTTTCACTAGTAAATACTTTTGTGAATCTGTGAACATAATTAGTACACCACGTACTTGAGCTTTGATGTGTTAGCGTTTTGGTACGTGTGTTTGTGATTCTCAAGTTTTTTGTGTTTTCTTGTGAAATTAAGTTACATGTTTAATATATGTACATATCAGAATCAATTATTGGTTTTCATATATAAATTCATATCACATAAATAATGTCACACATGTTGATTATATGAGCTATTCTTTCAATTTTCTCTTCACTTATATTTAATCTCATCTTCTTAAGTAGATTCATCTTTTGTAAATTATTTGTAATATATTTTTTGCCAAACTAATACTTATATATTTTTAATTATAATTATGTTGATTTTAATTATTTTTTTATTTTTTTTCTCAAAATTATTCATATTGTAATATATTTTTCCAAAAAATTTCTGATTTTTACTTTTATGATTATTCAACTTCAAAATTTTTAATTAGCATATTAAATTCATCTTATATCATAAATTGAAACAATTAATCTGCATAAAGGTCAAACTAGTTTAGTTAATTAGATTAACTACCTAATCATAGCAAAAAATTATATAATATCAAACTTACAATATATCTATAAAATATCAATGAAATTTTAAACTAATATTTTAAGAAAAGTGATAAATTGACAAATATTTGCAAGATTGATTTTATTATGATTGCCTATTATAAAATTTTGAAAAATTGATATACTGAATACTATGTTATATGTGTTATCTTTTAAAATTGATATTTTTGTGGTTGGAAAATATATTCTTTTCTATCTTTTATGATTAATAATCTAATTATGTTAATAAATATTTTACCTCTATTATGAAATTTTCAATTTTTAATAATTTTTAAAATTCAAACTCAGTCAAAGATCATGAAGAATTATTTTTCTCTCGTTTTACAATAATAATAACTTTTTTATAAATAAACTTAAAAATTTAATAGGTAGTTACAATTTTTTTGGTAATACTCATATGTATATAAAAAAAATTTATTTTTATGTTCATAGTTTTTGTAAAAATTTTATTCAATATTTCAAATTTTATTTTCAAATTTTTTCTAGCTTGAATTTGATATTTTAGTATTTATATTCTAAAATTCAGTATTTAATTTGAATTATCATACATATTTGATTCATATGAATTATATGATCTTTAATAAAGATCATAAATCAGTGACTAGTATCTTTCAACATTTAAAAAAAAAAGATGAAACAAAAGGCTTATGAAAAGTATGTTAAATATATAAACAATATTAGCTCTTATAACATGAGTTTTATGTGCATTCTTGTACACCTTTTTGGACTAGTTTTTACCTCTTTTGAAAGTAATCATAGGGTTTTGTTTACAACTTCGTTGAAAAGTAAAAACGTTTACAAATAAATTATCTTGGAAATATGATAAATATTTAATTTTTAGCCTTAAAACCTAGATAATTTTTAAAACCTAGATAATTTTCTATTGATCAGAATTCAATATTATCAAAATCTTCACAATGGTTAAAAAATTTAGCTCTTGTAGGTTTGAATATTTTCAAGTTTAAATAGTTTTAAGCTCGCTTAAATAAGACATGTAGGTTTGATCACCACTCTACTTAATCTGATTAGTTTTACATATAAAAGCATTGTCTTATAATTTCAAATTCGAAAATACATTCTATGACATCAAATACACTTTTATTATGTAAAAATCTAGTTTCATTCATAAACTGATTTTGCAATTTGTTTGCAGTGTTAGTGTAAAAATCTACACTCTTATGACGTACAGTTCAACTTCGAGGTAATCTTCACGTAACTCCATGATGCAAACTTCAATTTGGATTTTACTTGACGTAGTTTCTCTCCGTACACTTACCTAACTAGGGGTGCCGGTACGTTTTGTAGTTGATAGTTCACACAAGGAAATGAACTACTGTAGCATAAAGGATGGAATGTAACATTTTGGACATAATAATATAATGGACATAACATTTCGAGACAGAATTTGCATACATAGTTACTTCTAGGTCCAGTTTGAGTTTTAATAAAGCTCAAACTTTCTTCTGTTTTTTGCTAATAAAGTAAAATATTGTATCAAATATTGTTGCAGTGCAAGTTAGAAACTTTACTACACAAATTTTTCCATTTTCAGAACTATCGTTTCAGTTTTAGTCTGACTGGAGTTTGTTTTATGCGATTATGTGAGAAATTATCATTTCCCAAATTTTTTAGTCTTATTTCTATAAAACAATCAATATTTATCAAGCGATACATCTACTATCCGGCCAATATCAAGATCCGATCCGTTGCTTTGCTGACGATTTTTTGGTATACATTTGAATATTTTGATATATTTTTGTATTTCAAATGCATCATGATAATCCTAAGATACAAAATTCATCTAATATGTAGCAATCGAGGTACAATCATTGCATAAATAAACATGTATACAGAAAATAATAAAAAAATATGTTGAAGTTAATCAGCTGAAATAAAACGTTCACGGCCTGTGAATCGCAATACACCTATCATCTCAAAATAGGAATTTTTCCTTAGTTTCTTTTTATGTAAAGTGGATGTCAAGATTTACAGAACGATTGCAGAACACTGATGAGTTCCTGGCGAGCAGTAATACACCGATGATTGCGGCAACGGAGGTATAACACATCAACTGACAGCCAAAAAGGCTATGAGCTCATAGCCTTTCTGGGACTATTAACACAGATAAGCACACCTGACATACAACTTCAAAACAAGTTTTCTTGCAGAAACTAGAATTGATTCCTCTTACCTCATTGTAGACGATACCAAATCATCATTTTATGTAAACGTGTAACATTCTTTGTATTCAGTATGACTTGAGAAGAGCTTCCATTTGTCATTTTGGTGCTCAGATATGTTCTCCAAGTGATCCTTCTATCATTCCAAACCGTAAATTTTTCTGTTGTCAGTCCTTTCACCCTGGTTGGCTATTGCTCGTCTTTCCTTCTCTCGTTCCCTGCAGATTTAAGGATTCATCCTGCAAGAGTGAGTAATTTCAAGCTTATACAACAATGGTAGACGACAACCTGTTACTGTTTGCAGTGGACAGTATTGATTGTTGATGTATAGTGTTTAGGAAGATTTTTTCTATTACAAAAGTCATTGCCAAGTTTGGCTTAAGTCCTCAATCCAAACGTTGGATTTGCACGAGAAAGCTGTATTGCACCAGAAAGCATAACCGCTCATCCAAACAGGAACACCATAAAAGTTCCAGTATGTAATAGTATGATATTTCTTTGGATCGACATGAGACGCGTGCGATGCATGTTTTAGGTGAATTAAACAGCGTCGATTTCGAATCTCGTCGAAGAACCATGCTGAACAAGCTCATCTCTCTAACCCGAGTCTCTGCAGCTTTGAAGCTATCCTCATTCCTGTTGCATGACATCATCTACTCTACAGCCTTTTTGACGTGACGATTTCGCCTCCTGGGTTTCACCTCGACGAGCGGCGTAAATATAGTCCACGTTGTTGGGCTTCGTCAGGAACGGTGCGTAGTTAGAACGAAACGTGATTCGTTTTAATTGCAGAGCGCCTGTTCTGTTCGCTCAAGCCTTGGTAGCACTCAATTTGCTAGGCTGCGTCTTGCGCGCATTGCCAATGCACCAATAAAGTGCCTTCATTGAATGATGAACTACTTTTTGACCCGTACATTGACCACGAATCATCTGACGCAGCAGGTTCCTTTCTCAGAGTAAAGTAACGCTCACGAACTACAACCGTTCAGGTTAGATTTCGTGACTTCTACAATTTCATTTATCTTGATTTTGAATTCTTGTATATTTACTCCAGTGCGCTCACAAACGATTTTTTAAATACTCTTCTGGAGACTCAAGCCTATAAGAAGACCCCGGTGTGATCGTGGTACTCGCACGTAGCATCTTACTGTCAAAGATGGACTCAGAATGCAAATCGCAGCTGCATGAGAGAGTTCCTGTCATCGATTTCGAAGGGTTTGATGGACCGAATCGTGAGAAAATTCGTCGAGAGATCGCGGGGGCGTGCGAATCATGGGGATTTTTTCAGCTTTGTAACCATGGACTCCATCAGGATTTGATGAGGAGAGTGAAAGATGTGTCGAAGGAATTCTTCTACTTGCCCGAAGAAGAGAAGATGAAGGTCAAAGTGAAGCCAGGTGTTATTCAAGGATGGAGTCACCCGAGTCTGGCTGCCTCTGCGAGCAAACTTACCGCAAATTCAACGGAGTATTATCACAACCTATTCAAACCTCTTAGAGAGGATGTAGTGCCTCTCAATCCACCCACCTTCGGGTACTGGTTTCTCTCTTTGTCCTTCTGTGTTTGTGTGAAAGCTTCAGACTGGGAGAAGTATTAGACAATCTGATCCCGGGCAGATAATGCACCGTAGTTCCAGAGAAGGAGTGACCCTGTCATCCAGTCCTAAAGTAGGTCCTGTCCTGCCGACAGCTCTAATCTTTGCTAGTAATCAGACCACTGACTTGTGACACAGAATCACATGGATCGAATACGCCGAGCAAATTCAAGCACTCGCGGAGAACGTGTTGGCTCTGATTTCAGAATCGTTGAATGTCCCATCTGATACCCTGACGAAGCGCATGAGAGGACCAACCGACAGTCCATACTTGGCCAATAAAGTGAACTACTATCCACCTAGAAAAGATACTGTCGATCCACTAGGAGTTCCCTCTCATTCAGACCCTACTGCTATCACGTTTCTGCTAGCCGACGACGAAGCGGGGCTGGAGGTTAAGAAGGACGATAAGTGGATGCCAATAAACCCCATCGAAAACGCGTTCATCGTCAACGTGGGTGACCAGCTAGAGGTGCGACGTCCTTGTCCCAGCCTCTTCGATTTTCTCGTGTAATTTGTTCGTCCTAGCTATTGGCCGTCCCGAATTATCACATAGATGCCAAGAGATTTCATCTTTTGTACGGTTTCTTATTACGCTTGGCAGGTGCTAACATTGTGAACACCAAACACCGTTTTGAAGCTTGCTGTTGTTCCAGCTCTCCTCCTTATCAAGAAATACAGGAACTCGAAACTGATCGTTGAAGAAACTAAAGGGCCTAGCTCCCTCTACTGTGAAATACGTGACTTCTATGTTAGATTCTCCGTCCTTGAAAGCTTATTATTAGCAGAAGTCAAGAGATCAAGTTTCTTCTCTTTCTTTGTTTACCATTTTATATTATTTTGCTTCGGAATGTTCTTGCTGTGTTCTCGTCCTGACTCCTCGTTGATTGCTACGGACTTATGGTTGCTATCAATCTGTGACCGTGTTGTCCACTGCGTGGACCGTGCAGATTCTCTCCAATGGCAGGTTTCCAAGCGTAGATCACCGAGGACTGCCTTCGAAGAACCCGGAGCACGAACGGCTGTCACTAGCAATATTCTACAGTGCAAATATGAAGTGTGTGGTTGGGCCTCTTGAAGAGCTGTTGGATGAGAGTCATCCTCCTCTTTACTCCGCTTGCACTTTTGAAGAATACATGGCCAAATTCGCAGCTCGAGGCCTTGACGGGAAAACCGGGATCGCGTCCAGGCAGATTAAGCAAGAGTAGCTGCGCAGGTGCCTCGTTTGCATGTCCATGTTCAGCAGCCTTGGACATCTATACATGAACAAATGTGCCGGTTAAATTTCTGGCATCTAAACTTCAAATTATATTTTTCAGTAAAATCTTGTCTGATCTCATCAGGTATATCAGAATCAAAGTCGTTATAAATCCAATCTTTGTTGGCTTTTACATGTCGCCAGCATCTATGTAGCAATTGAAATCGTCGTATGTGAGAAAATCGCTAAAAGCACATGTCTTTGGGCATCTTTGGTCCGTCCAGATAAGATTTGATCCGGTGGTGTCATTGTCCTAACACCTCATTGACCATTAATGACTTTTGCATCCATGGTTAAAAACCACACCAGCTATCAAGTTTACACTCCCCATGAAATTTCAGGACACACCTGTAGGACCTGGGATTGCCATACCTTTGTGCAGGGGAGGAATGTGCGGATCACATGTATTGGACTTTTATACCGTTGCAGTCCAATACATGTGATCCGCAGGCCACAACCCTCACCTACACAAAGGTATGGCAATCCCAGGTCTCTAAACTTTTATAACGTTGAAGTCCCAAGTAGCTATCTAGAAGTAGAGTGCATTGGAAGTTGGATGCGATGAATTTCAAAGTTTTTATATTCACGGATTTCAGCGTCAAAGTTCGCAATCAGATTCTACTAGGACGCTATCGCTGCTAAAAAATGAGAAGCTCTGTTTCTTGGTCTAGTTTACAAAGAATTCTACTCAATTACAATAATCTTCTCTCTACTCTCATATGTACATCTTGGATTTCTAATCTTTCTTACTCATTCTTTCTCCAAGATGCGAATATCGTATCTCTTACATAACCAAGAAAGACTTTAGTTTTGTTTTGCACCAGGTTTATACTCTTAAATGGAGACAAATATGACAATCATTCTCTCTAACTTTCTAAAAAGTTTAGCCCCATGATAATTCTATTCTGTTAAACTTATTCTATCACATAAATGACTTCTTGGTAGTTGTATGAAAGTACTCTAACAAGTAGTCATCTATCAAGGCATGCCAAAGTGCCTTGTAATGAGTAATCATCTCTAGTATTTGAATCAATATAAGAAAAAAATCTTCTCCGTCTCCTTCTTTGATATTAGACTTTTAGGGGAGTTGGACATACCTTTTGATTTATTTAAAATAAAAAAATAACACACTAGAGTTAGAGTTTTAGTTTAGAGCACTTCCATGATATCAAACATTCACACACATACTAAGCATGATGCGAGTGTACAGTCCAACTATCAAGATCGATCAGCAAGCACGACAGTCACAACATCAAGATAACATGTTTCATCTTCCACAGTCTACGTCCACAAGCAAGAGTAGAACCTTCACTAAAGCACAAGTGTATACACGGCCTTCATATGAAAACTCTACTCCTCCATGCTAACTCTCATAATGCAACTCTAATTTATAAGTAATGAATGGCTCCTTCTGTCTGTTATGCAAGAAGAGATAAGATGCATATCTTAACTAATCTAACCACAGTGTACTTTTCTAACCATGATTGTCTCACGAGTTAATCCAAGATAGAGTTAACCTAACAAACTCCCCCTTGACTCATGTCTTTGAGAGATAACTAATGCAATCCTCCTGTATCTCTAAGCTAAATCACACTTAACCTCCATAGTCGAGAGTTCACTACAACTAAGTCGTAGATGGCAAAAATTGGATGAGATCACGAGTACAAAAATTACTAGACTAATCATTCCTATGCAAAATTTGCAACTTCATACAATTTTTAGAAAAAAGTTATTATCAAATCACTTTGGTCAATGCGTTGGCAGGGTTGAGCTTACCATCAATTTTGAGGAGCTTAAATGCACTATCATACACTACCTATCTGATATAATGATATTGGATGTCAATGTGATTTACTCTACCATCCATCACATTGTTTGATGCTAGATGAAGCGCACTTTGGGGGTCACAATAAAGATTCACATCACTATGTGGCAACCTCATCTAAGTGGCCAACTTGTTCAACCAAATAATTACTTCGCTGCTTCTTCTGCCGCAACGTATTCAGCTTCTGTGAACGACTAGGAAATGCATTTTTTAAGTGTAGATCTCCAACTTATGCATCCATCAACAAAAGTGAAAATGTATCCAGTTGTTGATCTTCGCTTATCTAGGTTTACTCCATAACCAACATCAACATATCCCAAGAGCGAACTTGCATTGTTTGATCGTGCATCAAACAATAATCCAGTATCAAGAGAACCTTTGATTTACCTCATTATCCACTTCATAACTTCCCAATGATCTCGTCCAGAATTTGACATGTACCTACTCACCTTTTCAAGTACATATGTTATATCAGGTCTAGTGTGTACCATTAGATACATAATGCTACTAATTGCACTTTCATAAGGGATAGAAGACATCAATTCTTTTGCAGTTGCTCCGTTGTACATAAAGATGTCTAAAGCTTAAAATGTGCTACTAATGGAGTATTTAGAGATTAGGTTTAGCATTTGACATGTTAAACCTAGCAAGTACTTACTCTGCATACCGCATCTGTGTCAATGTGGTAACCCACTTTTTGCTTTTGTGCGGAATTTAAAACGATTTTGGAAAACAGTACCGCGGCAGCAGTGTAAATAGTAATCGGTACATTTAAATAGAGTGAAAATGGATGATCGCGGGTCTCGTAAAATCATCGAGAATCATCGAGTTGGGCGCAATGTCCGGAACAAACGCCCGACCTGAACGATCGATTCTGAAGGAGTTCTCCTCCGGCGCAAGGCGCATAATCCGCCTTCGACGATACGCCTTCGGCGCTAGAGGTATCCCTCAGAATCTATGCAATTCACAAACGCCTAGACTTGCTCAGGGTCTTGTTGGAAAGAGCTCGACGCGCTCGTTCTAACAAGCCCAAGAACGCCTAGAACGGATGAGGACTCAGGGAGTTGTGACGGTCGGAAGATACAAAGGCTTTCGCCTACGCACAGGCGGGAGAATTTCGTCGTCGGCGGGAAGTCCGCCGAGATTTTCGCCTACGCACAGGCGGAAGGAAGTTCGCCTACGCATAGGCGGAATGAGTTTGATACCGGCGGGAAGTCCGCCGAGAATTTTGCCTACGCGGAAGGAATGTCGCCTACGCATAGGCGGAAGGAGTTTCATCTTCCATGCGGACAGATTTCGCCTGCGCGTAGGCACTTCGCCATCGGCGGGAAATCCGCCTTCGGCCCTAGGAGTTCACCTTCGGAGGTGGAGCTCGTACGGCGCCTACGGCGCCAGCGCATCAAGATTAGGTACGTACCGACGGAGTAGCGAATCCGTACGGTCCGCCTTCGGCTCAACGCGACGGCGGTACGGACGGGTGCGCCCTCGGCGGGTCGGGACTTCGGAGACAAGAGTGCCTACGGAGAGGCGAGAGAGATGGACAGTACGGAATCCGTTGACTGCGGTCAACGCCTTCGGCACAGCTCCACCTACGCCGACGGACATCTTCTGTGCGGACGGTCAGCGCCTACGCATAGGTGTGCGCCTACGCACAGGCGGATGGAGTTCGACGCCGGCGGGAAGTCCGCCGGGAATTCCACCTTCGGCGGAGGGAGTTCGGCTTCAGCGGAGCGGGATCAGCGCGAGTCGAAGTACGAATGATAGTAGCGCGTCGGCGAGAAATACGCCTTCGGCGCTGCGCGACCATGGCCGCGGCGTAGTACGCTGGCGGAGTTCAAATTGACATTTCGAACGTGTGAGTGAGAGCGCGACGGCGGAGCGTGAAGCCGAGCTTGCGAGAGGAGGGCCGTTACACTTCCGAGCCGGCGCAGCCATCGAGTGAGTCGACATTCACGACCAAGTGCCGACCATGACATCCTGCGAGCGGAGAGCGGACACTCCATTCTTGAATTTGCGATTTCAATTTCTTGTGAGAGCTGCGCGCGTCCACCTTCTAGCCGAGCGACATTCCAGACATCACCGCGTAGAGACTCACCCGGTGGCTGAGAGAGAATTGAGTGCGCGACAGTCGGAATTGGGAGAGATTAGAATTTGGAGAGGAATCAGTCCCGCGGGCAAGAGGCTTGGGCATAGCGGAGGAGAGTTTGCGAAATCCGATTTCAAGAACGCGATGTCGAAGTCGACTAAGCTGCGGATGGTTCCACTCAAGCTTCCGCAGATTGGGTTGCGGGCTTTTCAGGACCGGCTAATTGCAGTGAAACTCAATTTCCTACTGTGGGGATGGAATTACGTGTGCCCGGACACGATGCGCAAATAGCAGAGTGAGAGACACCAACCTACGCGCGGATTCCGTCCGCACGTAGATAGTTGGACTGTCCACGATTGTGGACAAGTATTGAGGAGGTGTGCAGGCGAGAACGGATTCCTCCTATTTGACAGTGAGAGCGTCAAGGTGTCGAAGGCGGAAGAAGCCTCCTTTGTGGAATTGTTCAAGCGGGAGAAGTCCACCAAGAACGGGTACAGGATCCGTGACTACAGAGATCGCTTCCGCAGAAACGTAGCGATGGCACTTCTGCAACTCTTGCAGCCGCACCGCACAACTTACATCACTTCTTTGCAAGTGTCTTTCGTGGAGCTCACATTGGACGGAGCTCCAGTTCACTGGTCGCGTATATTGCATAGAGTAACGCGACAGCATGCGTTTGAGGAGAGGGGAGGAACGATCAATCATCTCTCTCCCTTCTTGATAAACTTTTATCGGTCGATGGGTTGCTTAACCACAACCGAGCGAATTCAGTTTCCGCCGTTGTCACTCGACAATCCCGAGAGGTATGTGCGGGATAACGAGGTCGACACCGACACGGAGGACACTCCGACTTCCACTCCACCGGGTCACCAGGATGCGGGAAGAGACACATCCGCAGCGCGAGTACCGCAGAAGCGGAGATGGAGAGAGGAACCGGAGAAAGAGCAGCATCAAGATTCGGCTGCTCTCACACTGAAGCGGCCACTGCACGAGCTCTGCAGTCGGCCGAAGCAGAAAGCGCGCCGGCTTGTGTTACCTGCCAGCAGCGCGGAAACGGCGCGGGCCGCCCGAGAGAAGGAGAGTCCATCCTCGGAGAAGGATGCGACTGCGCGGACGGCAGAGGGGTCAGCGGACCTCCCTACGCCCTCAGCGGAAGTGAGACGACCTTCGGGTCAGGAGCAACAATGTGCGGCACA